TGCAATTAAATAAATCTAATGTGTATGATCATTGTGTCTAAATTACACACGCTAAAGGATTGAAACAGATCATTGACAACAACAACCACCTTCTATGCTTAGACCACACAGCTGGACAATGAGATTGCATTCCATTCTGCCAATCAATCATAACAACTGTTTGGTATGTCTGTGGAAGGAACAAAAGCACAGAAGAATAATTAATTGTAAGGATCTGGATCAAGTAAGCCAGGTCAGGACTGCAATGTTGAAATATCAAACTAAAATGAAAAGGAAGGCCAGTTTTGTACTACTACGTTGACTGAGGAACGAAAAGTCTTCAAATAATTGAATAAAGTACACTAAACAATGTATAATACTGTGGGTGGTGAAGCTTGGCAGTCACGTGAAATACTCTAGCCAAACAATGGTTTACCCGTAAATGGAGACAATCAAAATTTAGAACGATCATACCACAGCTTCAAAATTTGTGCTTTGCGCTAGAGTTAGAAATTAAAACCACAATGTTAAAAGAACTGAATAACCAAAATTCAGCTCACGGAATCAAACAATCAATTTTAGATGAGAAATAATTTCTAACAATCAAGTAATGGGTATGATTGGCAAATTAAACTTAACTTTTGAATGATAAACAAGATTCTGGCATTAAAAAATTGGAGTGATTTCTCTTAACAATTACAATTTGTATATGCAAGGAAGATTAATCATTCTTGCATAATTTACCTAAAACCTTCATGACTTTAAGCTATGTCTCAAATTCTAGTGGCAATAGCATGATCTTCTCCATGTCTCAGATTCTAGAGACCCCATCTCATAGAGACAATAATTTTACTATTAAAAAAAAAAACTTCACAAAAAATAGTTGCTCATTGCAACAATTATGGCACATCTAAATGTTCCCAAATACAACATGAATAATCGAACACCTAACTGTATCAAGAATAATAGTTGATGAGCAGTGTATTTCCAACATGATCTCAGTAATACCATAAAAACGGTAAATACTATGTAGCAATTAATAGGACACAAATCACTGAAGACCATTTATTGAGATAAAGATGCCACTTGTAGCGGCTACCCTTTGTTCATATACATACCTGTATGGAATTTTTAATAAACTTGTAATTAGTTTCTGGTGGCACTTTGAGAGGCATGAATGAATATCCTCAAGCATTTGATAGAATAGACTGGCAAATCGATAAAAGCATATCACTAAAGGACTAGGCAATCACGGATGCAACATTCACTTGGTAAATCTTTTAAGCATTCTCCAATCAATGAAACTTCAAGATACCTTTACACCAGTATTTATTGTGGTCACTCACTCACTCTAACAGACTCTCCAAATCAATGCCCCACTGAATTGAGTTTGCTAAAGGTACAATACTAAGTCCTAATAAAGTAGCAATTAATTATTACTAAAACAGAGTATAATTTCACATAACTCAAATCAAACTTGAAATGGTTGCAATAATAATAAGGGTAATAGATTTATTGCACTCACAAAACATGAAGGGCAATTGACCTGTCTGTGATGTTCACAGAGAATACGAAAGGAATTCCAGAGTTTCTAAAAATCCTTTTGCAGTGGCAATTAGCAAGAAACTTCATTTGAATTCCAAGATGGACAGAAGTGGTTGAGAGAGAGAGAGAGAGAGAGAGAGAGAATTTTCTTAGTATTACAGTTTATAAACATATGCGTATGTGCTAGAGATCCTTCAAGTCAAAGGTAAGATTAAGCACAATAGGGAGTGAGGGGAACTCACCAAATGGTCAGATTTTACACGTTCATAGAATTCTCATCCAAAGCCACAACTTTGATTTGAGGAAGTAATAAAAGAACAAAGAAGGTTATGCAGCTGTTGTAATCCATAGTTTAAAGGATTGTTTGGCAACTCCAGCTTGGCTATCATCAAGCTTATGATTGATGATTTTAGACTCCTCTTCACTAATCACATTGGATCCTCTAATAATAGGGTGGTGGCTCATCGTTTTCTGGGGGTGTCTCAGTGTGGACTGGATTCCTTTCCCTGTTTCTAAGGCCATGCGGGCTATTGTAATCTGCTCGATTAGTTTTAATGAAATTTTCCCTCTTTACCAAAATAATAATAATAATAATAGTAATAGCAATAGTAAGAACAAAAAAATATAAGAAATGGGAAAACCAGCAGTTAAAACAAATTTTTTTTTTTAAAGAAAAGAATTAAAATTGGTCAATATGAATAGAGAAAGTACCTGCCCTGCATATATATTGCTTAGGTCCGTAAGATCTATTTCACAATCTAGCATAATAATTAATGTTGTGAGATGCAACTCCCCATTTCCAAGGGTTAGCTTAGTAGTTAAGGCATTTTCTTACTAGGCGTGATGCTTAGGTTCGAGACTTAATGTTGTGAGATGCAACTCCCCATTTCCAAGGGTTAGCTTAGTAGTTAAGGCATTTTCTTACTAGGCGTGATGCTTAGGTTCGAGACTTAATGTTGTGAGATGCAACTCCCCATTTCCAAGGGTTAGCTTAGTAGTTAAGGCATTTTCTTACTAGGCGTGATGCTTAGGTTCGAGACTTAATGTTGTGAGATGCAACTCCCCATTTCCAAGGGTTAGCTTAGTAGTTAAGGCATTTTCTTACTAGGCGTGATGCTTAGGTTCGAGACTTAATGTTGTGAGATGCAACTCCCCATTTCCAAGGGTTAGCTTAGTAGTTAAGGCATTTTCTTACTAGGCGTGATGCTTAGGTTCGAGACTTAATGTTGTGAGATGCAACTCCCCATTTCCAAGGGTTAGCTTAGTAGTTAAGGCATTTTCTTACTAGGCGTGATGCTTAGGTTCGAGACTTAATGTTGTGAGATGCAACTCCCCATTTCCAATTCCCTTTCTTTTGAATAGCAAAAGAAAAATGATGTCAAGATGACCCACCGGCCACCAATTATAACAGCCTACTTGTTCATTATTTAGTCATATCAACTCCTTTCTTTTTTTCACTTTTGAGTATTTCAATTAAGGTCACTTGTTAGTCATGTTAGCCCGGTATCTACAAAAACCCAGATCAAATTTTGCAGACCAAAATTTGATGTTCTGTTTTTCAAAGTATTTTTCCTGAATTTAGTAACAAAACTGTTTGTACCTCTTTCCTTTGTAGCCTGGATTGCACTTGTTCACTACCTGTTTGCAAAAAATGTTTATGAGAACAATAAAATCTTGTTTATTGCTTCGATTTTGACAGACAACTTGGCTTTTCATGGTATTTTTTGTTCATGATTGGGTCACTGGTGGTGGCAGATATTTGCATGTTCAAGTAACTACAAGAACTGAAGGCTGTGTTTGGATTATAAATTTGGAGAATGATTTGGAAATGAAAAGGGAAAAAGTGTGTGAAAGTTTATATTTTATTCACAATTCACACACCCTTTTCATTTCTCTTTTCAAATTACTCGTCAAATCCATGATCCAAACAGAGTTGATAAGGACTTTTCATGGTATTTTATTGTTCATGGCTTGGACACGAAAAGTTGGATCCTTTGTTTGAGAGGTAGATGGGGTTTATATAAGTAAGGATTGCTTGGGGGCAAAAATATACATAAACCAAGTAATCTATATATATACACACCAGGATAATATATCATCTTGTCATAACTAGAATGAAAATAAAATCTCACTGACAGTGTACAAGAGATATGCAGCTGCAGGTTGCAATCTGTGACCACAACTTCAACTTAAGACCTGTGGCTGAACCGTTTTAGGGCAACCGCAACCCCGCTTTTGTGGCTGTAGGTTTTAGACTTCCAATTTGTTAAAAATGTGCGGCCTCATGTTTTTCGCATGTGGGCTTCACTTCAATTTGGTTGCAACCTTCATTTTGAGCGACTTTGTTTGCTCCCAATGTACTAAATCAACTTAAAATTGACTTTTTATTGAAAAACACTTAATTCCGGAAGTTTTCTACTGAAAATTGGCAATTAAAAATTGATTGAATGCATGAATGGTCCTCACATACCTTTTTGAGAACATTTTAAAAATATTATTATTTTATTTAAGGCTGAAAAACAATTTGGAAATTTGAGTTTACTTTGGAAAGCTAATCTAAAGGATTTATTCGAAGGTTATACGCATCATCACACTGAGAATGTAACACTTCCATCACTAGAAAACACTTGAGGGTGTCAAAGTTTTAGGACCGGCCAAAATATATCTACAGTCCTTTAAGGTGCTTCCAACTCAAACACAATCCGGGCTTCACACTTAAGGGAGCTCACCTAAGTTCAAGGTGACCCTACAGGGTGCTCTGCAGCTCGGCCCCAATCCAAACTTCGCACTTAAGGGAGCTCACCCATGATCAAGGTATGACCCCTCCAAGGGTTGTGCTGGTTGACAAAGCATCAAGTTGTTCGCCCTTGAGCCAGGTCCTCATGACCTGAGATAGTCCTTGCTCGGTTTGACCCTCTTCACCAACCAACATCACACAATCTTGGAGGGTAGCAAAGAACAACATTTTAATGCACCAAGAATCAAAGCAAAGGCCAAATAAGATGAGCTTCACATACATTAGTAAAAGTAATGAAAATAAACTTTTGGCTTGACACATAACACTTGTATTGCACAGCAAAGAAAGATCAACCTACAGATTTTGATTTCCTACTGCACTAATGCAAAGTGGAAATGAAGACATGCACATGTTAATTCTAATTTGGCCCAGGAAACTTTAGGACCTCTATAATCTTTTCAAGTTTCAAGCAAATAGAACACATTGTAAAATTAAATGAACCGAATTAGAAAAAACTCAACCATTAATAATTATCAAATAGGGCATACAGTGTTCAGTTAAATCACTAGAATATATTTCCACAACTAAGATTAGATCCATTACTGACTACATTAGATTAAACCCATATCTATTAACTAATACATAGGTAAATAAATTTCATTCATAAAATTAACAATATTAGATATTAAACAAACCATAGGCAAGAATGCTGACTCAAAACTACATCGGAGTGATCCATCTAGTGACTAGGCCCTGCTTTCTTCCTTTTTCTTTTCTTCTTCTCAACATGCGTTGTGTTGGATGAGGATGAGCCTGAGACTGAGACTGAGCCTGAGCCTGAGGTTGGTATAACACTTTGACAAATCTCTCTTAGCTTCCGTATATGGACAGCAAAATCTATGCCTCGATTAGACAGGATGAACATCCCAATGACCCTTCCCATTGAATCAAATATAGGGCTACCAGATGAGCCACTAAGATTGTTTAAACCATGGATTTGAATCAGGGGCAAATTGTCATCACATTTTCTACAATCTGTTCCAGTAACTACATCTCTATAGCTTCTATTAGGAAACCCCACAAATCCCTGTGTGAAAGTGAACTCAAGCTTAGTCGGGCATGGCATGATGGTAAAGACATCCATACCTATGTGCAAATTTTCTACCCTCCCAAACTTACAGAAGTCATATTGCATATCCATGTCCTTAACTTTTAAGATAGCAACATTGGAAAGTTTATCATCGTAAAAAACTACAGCTTCTTTAAGTTCATCAGCTGTTCGACCAACCACAATGTCCGTACAATCCTCTATAACATGTGAACAGGTCAAAATATGACCATCTCTACTTATTATAAACCCCGAACCTTCTCCGAAACTTACTGTCTCTTCATCTTTATCTTCATCTTCACCTTCACTGGCCGGTAAATTCTTCGCAAACCTTACCATAACTACCACTCTCCTCATTTTTCTGTAGAAATAGGGTCTTTGTTCCTGTGAGAGGAGACCCTCATTTTCTGGAAAATCATTTTCCAAACTTATTTCCATTTTCAGAGAGGCAAAGGGAACGGGGGATGATGGATGATGGATGATGAGGGAGTCCGGGAAGACAGATTTCAGGCGAGGGAGGAGGAGGAGGACAGCTAGGCTAGTTAAGAGAAGAGAGAGAGAGAGAGAGAGAGAGAGAGAGTAAAGGACGAGTCTGCAATCACCAACAGAATGGAGACACTGAATTCATGCCAGCTAATAACAAAAGCAGTGGTATCATTAATTCGGTACCACTGAATCACCATTGATGAAAAATTAAAAAATATATATATATATATATATATATATATATAGGCTTGAATGAACATTTAAACATAACATAACAAAAATAGAGTCTTCAGCCCTAGTCTTCCCAAGCTATGTCCTTGGAGGTGGCATGTCACCAGTACTTGAAAATGGTTTCCCAAGTAGGGTGAGCCAAAGCCCAGTACAGATAAACTAACACAGTATATGAGGTTTAACAAAGATATAAGTGCAAGATGTATAAGCAATGCCATGGATAAAATATTCACATTTTATATAGTCATAGAATACCAAGTCCATATTTCATTTAATTTTTCCCCAATTCATCTCAATACATGAGCCAATTCCATCATTTTCAATACCCCAATGAGACTACAACTCAAAGATTCCACAATCACATCATTAACACACAAACACTTCTATCTTGCCATTTTACGGAATTCTCATCCGAGGGAATCGGCACCCATATATACACAAGATTTCGAGACTTTCACCCTGGACGCTCCGACCAACTTAATTTTAAATGGAGTCGATCCCCTATCTCGTCTCAAACAATGGAGTACATCCCCTTTCCCCTCCCAAACAATTATACATATACAATGTATTAAAATATCATCATATACAATAACTATCCACAACACATATTCAATGTTTTAATAATACCGTCATATTCAATGACATAGCTTAAACGACAGGTTTCAAATCACCTAGTCCTCATGCAATTTCTATAACAATCATAGCTATCCTCCACTAATAACCCAATATAGATATTTCTAGACAGATAGAAAATCTATCAAATAGATAATTAATCAAATTTCCATAGGCGAGTGATTTGAAAAACCCAACTACACCATTCATTCATACATCCTCCCAATTTTACATTTCTGCTATTAATTTTATTATTTATATTTTTGTTTAAATATAATTGTAATATATTTATTGCATCGCGATTCGATTCCGGTTCAACCCGACGATTGAACCAGTGACCCATCTACCAGATCTCTTTTCTGGTTCGCTCACCGGTCTAATAGGTTTTTTTCTTAAAATCTATGTACAATAAATTTAATTATAAAAGCTTTTGGGGAATTTTTTTTTTTAAAATTACTAATTTTTTTAAAAAAAAAAACAAAAAACATTAAATTTGCACAAATGGATCGATCTGTTCATTCATGTGAGTCTCACGTAAATCCCACATGAATGAGTGGGTTGGATATATTTATATTAGGGACATTTACATACAACTGCTAGTTTATAAACTTTACTTGAATAAGTTTTAACTAAGATTTTTAGGACATTCAAATTAAATTTTCAATAATCGGAATTACTTTTCAAACAATGATTATTTAACATTTCTGATTATCAATAAATGAACATGATGATTTGATATTTATTTTTATTTTTAAAACTTTAAAACATCAACTTTCAAACTGAAAAAACTACAAAAAAAATTATGTACAAAAAAAAATTGAATTTTTTTGTGTACAAAACTAAAATTTTTGCCTATAAAGGAGCGTGATGGTAGAACATTGATAAGTAAAATTGAAAAAAAAAAATTAAATGAAAAATTGATAATGTTCTCAATTTTGAAACTGAAAAAAAAAATTGATAATATTCTCAATTTTATTGGATAGTTGAATCAAATAAATAAATAGGAGGAAAAAAATGTTTAATCTCATGCTCTGTTCCCCCCCTCATTTAGTGAAATAATTATCTGAAACATTACCATACAAAATTGATAATATTCTCAATTTTAAAATTGAAAAAAAAAAACTAACGATGTTCTCTATTTTACTAAATAAGACTTTTTCGTTCAAAAAATCTTAAATAAGATTTAAACTGCTGTAATATTTATAAGTATGACTTTTTGATAATTAATCCTTTATTTTATGACCACGCTAGTGCCGTTTGTGACACTTATAATTGCTCATTTGGTACGTGAGCTATAGGTAATTAATTAGTAATTCCAGAATATAGATATGTGATACTCTATAGTATTGCGATTGGTGGAGAAGGTGGGTAGTTGGGATATTGTGTTGAGTGATTGAAAGACATGAGGGGGCATAATAAATAATGATTGGCTAGGAGTATGAACACGTGGTATTTCGGAAATATTGAATAATTTCCCGTGAGCCGCTATGAGCTATATGGATTGTTTGGTGGAATTTTTTAAGTTAAAATTTGATAATAAAAAATATAAGGTTTTTTTTTAAATTAATCCAATTTTTAAAAAACTTATTTAAATTATTTTTGTCTAATAAATTATAAATAAAAGTTGTACCAAACAATCTGAGACATTGACTTTCAAATTAAAATAAACTATAATTACCTTCTAAAAACAGTACCAAACAACCCTATATGTCCATATCACTTTGCCTTTGAATTTTAATTCATCTAAAATAAATAAATAAATAAATTAAAGCCAAAAAAATCAGTTCTTTGGTAAAACTTACTTAATAATTGTCTAGTATTATTTTATTTTTTTAATTAAAAATTGTAACAATTATTCCTCTTGTTTATTTTTATCCCCCTCAATTTCATGTTTAATATTGAAAATATCCTTTCAATTATAGGAGTTAATTACGCTTTATCCTATTAAACTATCAATTTACTTTCAATTGTAGGGATTCAAGCTTTTTAGTATTGTGTAATTAAGATCTACTTAGTTATTGTTTTTACAATATTTGTTGTTTTGTTATTTAAAATTTTAAAAAACTCTTGAGGCCAAGTGTTGGTTGTGTGGCTGTGAGCCATAGTAATAGGGCAGTTTTGACTATATGAATTTCTCTCGATGCGTTTCATTTACATGTACCTTTAATTTTATGTTTTTAATAAAATTTTGACTTTATTAAAAAAAAAAACTACACTATCACTCAATGTCAATTCACTTCTCCCGACACTATATTTGGATTTTAAAGTCAAATACAGTTTTTGAGAATTATTTTTTTATTTATTTTTTATCTTTAGTAACCCTTTTTTTTTTTCAATTTATTCAAATTTTTAAAAAATAATAATAAATGCACTTAATCTAGATGCATTTATAAAGTAAAATATTCATGAGAAAATGTTTTAAAAAATCACTAAATATGACAAAAATAATAAAAGTGGCATATAAATTCTTCTTTAATGAATTGTTTGAAAATTTATTTATAAATATTTTACTTTTTAGAGAAACTAAATTAAATGTATTTAAAAACTAAAAAAAAAATGAACTAAACTTTGAAAAAAGTCACTAAATACACACACAAAAAAAATAATAATAATAATAAAAACACAAAAAATAAAAACTTAAAATCTAAACTAAATAATGCCATTTCAACCATTCTATTTGAGATGTTACGTACAAGATCTATGTCAAATTTTCAACTATTTAAAAACCGATCCTTGTCACCACAAAAAAAATAAAAAATAATAAAATAATAAAAAAAAATGATCCTTAATAAAATGTTTACAGTAATACAAATTTATAATTCAAGGGGAGAAAATGTAACTTTTTTTAGTTGGGTTGTTAAAGTGATATTAGATGATAGTTTTAAAAGGTGAACAGTAATTTATGGTGCGGCTGAAATAGCTTTTTCATCATAATAGATTGAAAAGAATTAATAAATAGAGGAGGTTAAGGCCTCTTTTGGCAATTAAATTAAAAGTTAGTTTATTGACTTTTTGATTTTTTTAGGTTAAATTATCTCTCTATTTTTTTTACACATTTTTAAAAAAAAAAAATTTAAAAAAATCAAAATATCAACTTTTATTCTACTTTCCAAAATAAATTGATTTTTAAACACCTCAATGCAATCCTATACGATTTTAGTAGGGAAAATATGGAATGAAACCATTAGGAAATAGATGATATTGTTATAATAAGCTATAAGTGCTGTGCAATATGCTCACCTCCGACAAGTAGGCTTAGCCGAATTGGTTATCATACCTTCTTTAAGACTTAGGCTAAGTTTAGTAAGTTAAAAAAAGTCAAAAAATTAAAAAGTTATTTAAAAAGTTAAAAGGTTATCACTATTTATCAAAAGTCAAAAATTACGGCTGCACAATTTCTAATCCTAATTTTTCCCTACACACTAATTTATACAATTTTTTAATACACATTTTTCCATAAAAAGTCAAAAAGTTAACCCAAGTATTCATATTTTTTTCCTCAATTTTTTAGTCCAAAAAGACAAAAAGTGCACTTATTTAGGACACCCCAAACAATCCCTTAATTCTTAAGGAGTTCATAGATTCAACTCTCCTTAGAAAATTTAAATTAAGGGAGTGCAAACATTTAGGTGTTTTGTCAAGGGTAGAAAGATTTTTATTTTATAGGTGTTAATTTAACAACTAACGACTAACATTTGCCAATAAAAAATTATAGGTATTAACTTAACAACTAACAACTAATATTTACCAATAAAAAAAAAAATATGTTCACTGTTGATATATAAGTATCTTGTGTAGGAAAAGTAACAACATTATCATATTTTATAACATAAGTATATTTGAAACGAATGGTAAGTAGTTATTATAAATATATTCAAAATGAATGGTAAAAAAAAAAAAAAAAAAATTAAATTGTTAAAGTAATTAAATTAAATTAAATTGTTAAAGTGATAAAAGCAACTCCAAGACTGTTAGGTAAAATGCCTTCTAAAAGTACATAGAAAAGTATAAATATTTCCCTAATTAGTTTATTTACTGCACGTTTCAGTCATATATTTTTTATTCTAACTAATTAATTAAACTAACACAATACCCTTACACTAAATTCA